GTATAGTGTCATGAAAGTAAACTTCTTTAGTTCCTAACAAGTTTAGATTATTCTTCAGTTGATGAATTCAGACTCGGAAACCTCTTTACCCATTCTGAACCAATGCTTGAACCATTTTTCAATTTTATCAGAAATATTTCAATGTTCTTCAATTACATTGCACACATCAAGACTTCTCAAAGGGAAACACCACTTTACACATTGATTTAATACCTCAGTTATTTGCACTTCTTAATGAGACAATAATGCAAACTGTCTACCTATTTTGAATTGTAGGGTTTCATGTACAAAGACATTAACTCAGAAAAGAGCCAAAGGAGTTATTGGAGGTTTAGTACACTTGCTCGAAACTTATCTTTATATTATTGGAAATTATCTATTTTTTATTAATTTTCTTTCTTTCCCGGGTCTAAACTATTTGGTGTATCATCTGTGCTCTTACCTAATATTACTACAAAATATGGAGATTGCAGAGATTGTTTATGGAGATGGCAGAGTTGTCATCTATTGCCAGTATGGAGACAAAGGTGTTACTCTACTGTGGGAATATTTCCTGATGGAAAGTTATATGAAACCAGTGCTTATATTAAAAATTAAATTATGTATGTATTATTGTATAGTATGTATGTATTAATTATCATCTGAATTAACCCACTAGTGCTTGGTGGCAAAATAATTTCCCACTACAACAATAATGTTGGCAAATATATATAAAGATTAGAACAGAAAAAATAGAACAATGGAAATTTATATCTTGCATCTTTATTAGAAACCATTTTTGGCATTAATTGGCCCTATTGTTTGGATGCCTAAGTGTCTTTAATTTCTTGGTATTGGGCGGTGTATTGTTAAATGGAAGCCACCCTTAAAAAAACTTATGTTGTATATGTATCCGTACGAGAAATATTACCTCTATAATTTTATACAGAAAAATGGCTAGATAGAAATCCTAAATTTAGTGTTGCAAATTTTGAAGAAACTTTCAAACCAGAATCAGAGGACTTTTTGAAAGATTGTTAAAGATCCAATTCATGATTTTTCAACCTATTTTACCAAAATTTTAATTCAATATTAGTTCTTCAAACTAATTTATATGCATTTCAGAAAAGTATCATTCCCTAAGCATTACAACAGATTAAATGCTTTGTTTTGTAGGAATCTTGCTATTTTCGTCACGAATAACTTTTATTTAGGTGCATTGGGAATGATATGCCTTTCCTACAGTTCTGACATCTTTTCACACCATTACTTCTACAGACTTATGGGACACCAAAGTGTAGACCAGGGCCAAGCGCTCCTCCATCGCTTGCATCCATTGCTGTCTGTGCACTCTATTGAAAAGATCATGTTCTAATCAAAGAAGATGAGGCTTTTAAAAGATGCACGGTGTGTCAGGGCAGGACATTCTTGCGATGGCGACAATGGCGGCAATGGTGTAACGGTTAGCGTACCGGACTGTTGTACCCAAGTTTGCGGGTTCAAACCCAATCAAAGCCATGGATTTTTAAGGGCGAAAAAATCCTTCGTACACCTTCCTTCGGAGGGGAAGTAAAGCCGGCTGTCCCATGTTAGTAGATTTACTTGCATGTAAAAGATCCTCAAGCCTAAATGACGCCTCTGAGCTAAATTCAAATCACCTGTTTCTCGCCCTAGAAATACCTTCTTTCTCTTCTAGTTGATGAAAGGAGCGTAACGAAATTTGCGTGGTCAGACGGAAGAGCGGGCCCGAGTCTCGCCACATAAAATAAGGCATTAATTCAATTCAATTCTTTTTATAGCTCTCCTACAAGAAATGTATGATAGCTCTCCATCCTAAGTGTTTTGAAACATTCTATTCCTAAACATCTCACTTGCAGAGTAAACATTCAAAGAGAGTTTGTAAAACAACAATTTTTAATTTTCTATAATCACATAATAAATATATAATTTCTGAATAATTAATGAAAAGTGAAGAAGTGTAAATTGTCTAAACTATAAGTATAATCAATTGAAAAAGATTGGAAGCATTTAAAAAAAATGTAAGTGATAATTGAATTTTACATGTAAGTGCTTGGTGGCAAAAGAATTGACCATTATCTAGAAATCTAGAAGCAAACAATGCAAAATTCACAATCAAGTGTTGATTTTTAGCAAACTGTAGTACAATCCAGTCAAAAAACCTATTTTGAACCAAAAAAGTTCTGAGCATTAATGAGTTATTTAGAATACTAATTGATTATTTTTTGATGAAATTAGACCTCATGTTAAATATTGCACAATAATTATTATTCATGTTTCTTCTTTCGCACACTAATATTACAACTCCTCTTGCTTGAATTTTTTGGTAGAAATAAAAGAACAATTTATTCAATACTTTATTCATCCACACAGTACTAATTAATAAAAAAATTAATTATCCCTCTCCAGCGACTGGTATAATCCTGAAAAACACTCAGTATTTGCCAACCACACACATGCTCCTTGAACAGCAATTGAACGAATCCCGAACTCGCTGATTCCAGCGACGCCATCAATACAGTGGAGCCAACTTTTACCCCATTTATAATCAGGTGCAAAACAGTTGAGTTAACACTTGTGCTTGTAAACTCTGAGGCAACACCTCCTTCACATCAAATATTTTGAAAAATATTGTGCTTATCATTAACACGACATAAGCAAAGCAAGTAATAGGAAACTCCCAGAAGTTGTTTTGATGATAAAAATAAAAATCATAATTTTGAGTTAACTCCTTCATGCACTAAGCCCTTCAATTTTATATTTATTTACTTAGGTATTCTATAACCTACTTTTGTTTCCGACCAGGACCTCTTAAATAACTCTCACCATGATCGGATTTATCCTACCAAGTACTAAGACACTCGTAAATTTAGATTTGTCAGACAAACAGAAATTGAAATATGAAAATAATAAAGCTAAATAATGACTTACACAGTACACAGCTCTTCCTCATGCAAAAATATATTTCACTTTTACCAAACAACGAGTGTTAAGGTAGCCTGTTTCAACCTTTTGCATCACTTGCACAAACTTTTCACAGAACTACAGGGTTCTTGATACCAATGTAAATTGCATTTGCAGTTTAACAAGAGACCAATTGTTAAAGAACATTCGAAACACTTCCCAGATATGACAGGGTACCGGACGTTACGGTACATGTTGGAGTGTGTTACTGAAAGGCAATAAAACGAATTTACCTATTTTCTTATTGTTCGTTGATTCACTCCCCAAATTTACGGTGGATGCTGAAAATGTCTGAATATAATAAATAGTACAGATATGAGAGATTTGTTAACAGCTTATTGTCAACATTTGTGTGTTTTGTTACATGGAAAGTCAATGTAAAAACGAAAATCCCCACTGACTAGGCTTAAACTACGAATATAAGAGGACCCTCTACTTTTGGAACAAGATATAAGGAAAATAACTCCTTAAATTCAAGAAAATATGCAATTGCCTTTATTCAAACTCAAAAATGAATATTAATATGAAAGATGGGACCATCACTGACCCAACAATTGTAGACATCAACAATTCAGAGGGCAGCTTGAACAACAAGTCAAAAAAGTAACAGAATGGGATAAGTTGAAAAGTTACTATCAGAAAATCGAAGAATGAAATCCAAATTTAAAGATATTGAAAAAAATTATTATATACTAAACAAATATGGCCTAATTATATTTACAGACACTTGGCTGTGCCTTGATACTTCAAATTCTGAATGTAAGCTCCTGAATTTTGATATATACAGAAATAAAAGGAATAACAGTCAGTATGTGAGAGGTGGCAGAGTAGTATTTATTTTTGACGGCTATCATTAAAGTTTTCAGTTACATTCCAAAAACGTCAAAAACTTATTTGTAAAAATGTGCAATAGAAAAATCGATTTGATCGTATGGGCATCTTCCTCCTATCCGTTAAATATTCCTACACTGAAATCACCAAGAACACTTATTGATATTAAATTTTTAGTTAGGTTAATGGAGATACTTTATGCCCTTATCTATGAAGTAAAATAAAATTAAAAAATACCATCAGTAACTTCTAGTCAAACTCCAGTCTTTGCAATTGTTAGATTCTCAACATTGTGTACATCAAACAAACCATTAACCTGAATGTGTGGCTATGCTAATGAACATAACATATATGTAGTATCAGCGAATGATGCAAACTTAGCTGCTTAATTTAAATGTGTGATATTAAAGTTTATATAATTATGTTCTGTATCCTACGTTGTGCACTACTCAGCTGGTCTTACATTTATATTGTAAAAAGGACCTTAGTTCATGTATAAATAAATAAATTTGCTTTTCACAAGCATTCTTTACCAGCACACACATCAATATACATACAATAAAAAGTTCACAATATTATACAGCAGTTTCTGAGAAAAATAAGGTAAAAAGTGAAATTTAACATCGTCCATTAAAGCATTTAATTACGGTTTAGTAGTGTTACGTTCAAGTTCATATACAAATGAAAGTTGTAGAGCACATTTTTATAACTGGTCATCAGTTCATTAAAAATGGCACATTTGCATGGAAAAATATAATAAATAAAACAGATGTATTCAGCCATTCGACTGTTTCACACACCTCAATTGATCAATTATGAAGATTGCAATGAACCGAGATAGAAACCTTAAATGGTGATCGTGTAACAATTTTACTTCCGAGAGAAAATTTCAATACAGTTAACCCCCATCAAAACATTGAAATCAACAGCAGAAACATGTTCCTATAATGTGTGAAGATAATGACCAAATAAAAATAGTTGTATTAAAAAAATTAATATTTATAGCACACACAATGCCCGTAATTTTTTTTTGCAGTTAAGAGCAAACTGTCTTCATTAAAGTCTGAAGAAATGTTAAAAAGATATTTAAGGTTCAATTACAAAGTGTGTACTTTTATCTCAATCATGTACATAAAAATCAAACAAGAAGCCAATATTCAACACATGCACTTCAAATCAAAATAATCACTCGTGCAAGACATATTTACCTTCACTTTTAATGCTTTTCAAACTTGGGCTAAGATCATTCCCCAGATGTTCAATTTCATATCTCTAAAAGAAAACAACAAAAATTCAGTTTCATGTTTGAATTATACAAACAAAATTCTCAATGAACAGAAACAAATGCAATTATCTACAAGTGCCAGAAACTGCTATGGATTTGACAAAGAACAAACAAATAATTTAAGTATGAACAACTTTTTATTTGCTCTAAAAAAGGGTTTTGTTTACATATTCATAATATGTGGTTAAATGTTTTGCAATATATTTCATTCAATTGAAGGACTTTGTGGCAACCACAAGATAAGCTACATCAGGAACAGCAAGCCCCCCACAATTCAATGTTAATATCTTTATTTTGGTGAAACTCTGGCTTATCTTTTTTCAGTCTAGTTCATATTTAGGAAGGGCATTATCTGTAACAAGACGAGACACTTCCTTTGAAATCACGATATTAACTTCCAGAAATAGCAGGAAACTTGCTGTACCTAGTGTGAAATAATTATATGCGTTGTCATTGCAAACAATATTATTTATTAAAAAAGCAGCTTTCGATGGCTTAGCCATCATCATCAGTTTTCTGCTGTATGGAAGCTACAAAAACGGCTACCGCTGGCTTCTAAACAGCAGAAAACTGATGATGGCTAAGCCATCGAAAGCTGCTTTTTTAATAAATAATATTGTTGGCAATGCCAACTCATATGATTATTTCATTGAAAATGCCAACAAAAAATCACCACAATACCTATATGTAGCTAGTGTGGCTTACCTTGTTACTGCCTCAAGCCTTTTCATTGAACAACTGATACTTTAGATTACACTAAGTCAATGATTCAAATGATCTGATCTGGTGTTCACAATCAGCATACTTACAGTTCATTGAATCATTAAACTGATCAAACCATAAAAATGTATGAACTCAGCACAAAGTGATATTAAAAAAGATTAATTAAGATGTCACAATAAATTAATTACTGAAAGGTATAAGGAAAGAGAAAATTAATAAAAATAATTCCTTACTTGAACAGGTGCAGAGACACACTTGGCAGCCAATGAGTTTTCATAACAATCGAATCCCCAATTACTCCAACTATTCTGAGGCCAATATGAAAGGCCCTGATCATCCACAATCTAGAAAGAGAAATGAATTTTAAACATTATGTATTTAATTGTATAATTAGTATCAATTTAAATGGATATCATTTTCTCACTTTGGAACAAGGAAATTGATAATAGGATTCTGGTTCATTTGTTTCGTCTCTCTGCAAGAGACTCAGAACATAGAATGCACAAGACACCGCATCAATTCCTTGAATTCCAAGTTTCCCATCAAGCCACTCCTCCAGGGTCGATACAACTGGTGGGTACTTCATGCTACAAGGGTCCTGTAAAGAAGTAAAATTCTAATGAACTCTAAGCTAAAGCATTTCACAACCCAAAATTAATATAATACTAAAGGGGGAGTGGGTTTGAGGCAGATACACTGTGTTACATGGGGTCATAGTTTAGATTTCGGATATAGTGAACTTAGATTAATGGTCCTGTTTCACTTACATTACAAATAAGCATAAGGAGATTCATTTATAGTGAACCTGAACCTTGGCTGTTGTGAACTTCGGAAATTGGTCTTGGAAATTAATTCCCTCAACTGATGGGTGTCAAGACTTCATTACAATACTTAACAGACAGCTGACAATGCAGAATCGAGTATGGAGAAAGCATAAACTCTGGAGAAGGATCTAGAGAAATTGCTAATGAAAAATGTATGAAGCAAACAAATGAAAATATATTATTTTTATAAGACCAATAAAGATATTGAAATTTTCAGTTTGTGCTGTCAATATATTTTGCTGTATTTCACTTGTATAAAATGAATTTCTGTGGAGAAATTCTTGTTCCTTCGATATAGTGAACCAAAAATGTTGAGTTCCCTGAAGTTCACCATAACCAGAGTTGACTGTATTATGTAATGCATTCCCACCACCACATACATCAAAATTTGCTGATGTAATTCCTTTTTTGTCTTATATTAAAACCTAAAAATATAAACTAATTCAATCTAAAATTATATAAATAATTGCCACCAATCTTGTTGTTAGATGCAGTCAGCATCGACAGCTAATTCGGACTTTAATAATCATAAATTTTAATTTATAGCACATAAAATTAATATAAATTGCTTTCATTGTGATACAATTATTTTTACTTCTAGTAAGGAGGTGGTTGCAATCGTTACATACTGATTTAGATGAGTTCAAGCATGCTTTATGGGTGTGTAACAGGGAGGGAAGGGGGTATTCAAAATGCACCAAACATGCATTATGTAATTTATGAACAGTTCCTAATCATAATTAAATCGACATTTTAACATTATATAATAAATTTCACACTACAATTAAAAATCATTGACAGCCAACATTATACCATAATCTTACAAATGCAATCTATCAAATTGGTTAATACGATATGTTAAGATCCAACAGTTTACTCAGTTTATTGGATATTAAGAAATTACCTGAAAGATTAACTGAAACAGAACTTCAAAGTTTACGAATATAATTTTACAATAGACTCATTAGACAACTACATCTGTAACTTACACATAATGAATATACAAATTAACTAATTTCAATTTTAAGCATTGATATACACACTGAAGATTATTTTTTGAACAATGATTTAATTTTTCCTTTACTCACCTCAAAATATTTAGAATGCATTTCTAATGTTTCAGAAACAGAACTATAAAATGCAACATCTGGCAAGACCATAAAACTCAAATGATCAAGTTTTCCTATTAGCTTTTGTAATTTCAAATAAATATTAATTCAAACAACTTGGTCATTTTATTTCCAACACATTAAAAACCAAATTAAAATTACACAGAATCCCATAACTTTTGTTGTCAGTGAAAAAAAGAACACAATGAAAACCCAATATATAGTTCTATGGCTGGATGCAAGAACCACCACTGCCTGACCTTTTCATTATTGACATGGTACATTTCTTGCACAAAGCAAGAGGAATAATAAATACAAAATCATTTAATAATAAGCAATATGAAAAAATGCTTCCTCTGTAAACACAACCTCTACATTTACACTACATTATCCTACTGTCTTACATTTATTTCAGGACACTTATTTCAATTGTATCACACAACATAATTGTTTCGTTTCAAAGAATTATTTACTTTTCTCGTACAATAACATAAATAAGGAAGATCTAATATTGAAATCTCAGATTTCATACAAGCAAGAAATGAGGGTATCATGAAACACTGTTACCAAAATTCTATAACACACAGGTGCAATTAAATGACAACGTACTCACCTCAAAGTTTAAACATCCCACAAAATGCATAGAGTATCCAATGTAGTTCACGAGAAGTTTTATCTTCTTGGCGATCTATGACTGTAAATAGGGGAAGCTCTATATCTACGAATTTGTGCTTGTTCTTCATGTCCAAGTTTAAAATTGACGTATGTGTAAGTCAAACTTTAAATTTGGTCTGCACTCTTTGACTAATGAAAACGTTTGCTTCCAAAAAAAATTAACAGAAAAAACATAACATGACATAAATAAACTACAGGTTGCAATACATTTGAGCAGGGAAATTCAGGCACTTATTAACATTCATGCATGATGAGAAGTTCTACTAAGCACTTGAATTATTTTTCTTCAACATTATATATTTTCACATGAGATCTGTATGTATGCGGCCTCCATTATTTTAGAAACCTGAAACATAAAATAAACATATCTTCAATAATTGTCCTTTATACTTAAATTTTCACATTACAATAATTACATAACTTGTAAATAAATTTGGATAATACTCTGACAACACATACTACTGGAATTATACAATATTCAAAGTTATTCCAAATCTCTGGAATTTTGTATTCACGTTCCTACCCTGCAACTATTCTTCACTTTTAAAAAGTAATTTAATGTACGCATGGAACAAAGCAACACAAAAACTTCAACATGCAGAGAAAAAATAGCTGCCATTGCAACACAAAAACCCAGAGGTTGTTCAGATCACAATTCGCTTTATTTACACTCGCTTTCATTAAATTCGGCTGCGATTTGATGAATAAATTTGCAAAAAGAACGTCCCATACCCATGAAGCAATGAATTCTTGACGTAAAATACTGTCTCACGAATGCTAATACTTCGTTTACTGCATGGCGTTGACTTTGTCAGATCACGTCTCAACACAAACCTCGCAGTTATACTGAATTACAAAGTGTAAAGATACTTTTAAAGAGTTACAAAGGAAACATTTCACAAAAAGTCTTACCTGCATACAAACGACCACACCGCAGCCAATGAAGGCTGGCAGTTGAAGTCAGGAGACTAGTACTACACCCCATTCCTTCTTTACGCGCACTTTTGTCATAAGAATTTAGATTGTTTAACAATTATGGGCCATGATTTCTCCCGTTGGGATGGAGGCGTGCCTCTTGCGATGATATATCGCAACTTTCCCCAGGAATTCCTTTGCTGACAAGGCGACGCAGACCTGGCACGACCCTGGACCAGGTCTGCCCGGGATGCAAAATAGCAATTCCTGGACTCCACCAACAAAGTACCGGAAGTTATGACAATTTCAACGCTACAAACCGCTACCAGCGCAGACGCCCAGGTTCTTCACATCCGGTCTATGCCCCGCCTTATCTGAGCTCCTATTGGTTATTTACGTCAAACGCGCGGATTTTGTTTTCTTATTCAGTTTTTGTTTCTATATTTTTGGTTAAATACTGTATATTTACGCTCAGTATTGGGATGTAATACCATTTATATAACTATTTTCATTTCATTATACGTAGAAAACGAGGAAAATGATTCCTAAAAATAAATGAAAGGCACTGACCCCGTCTCCCGCGCTAATCCAAGCGCTTACAGCGCTTCTGGTGAGCAAATCTTGAATTACTATCGATTACTCTCGCATCCAAAATTTTAAGAGCGGTAAATTGCTTTTTGAAGTAGTGCAAATCCTTATTCTGGACGTTTTCAGGCAGATGTAATTCTTAAGGGGGAAAATTATTACTAAAAGATAGTAGCTAGAAAAAGTCGCAAAATTACAATTGCATTTTGCAATTACAATTTTCGGATTGATAATTAATGGGATTGATGATTAATGGGATAGTAGACAATTATTTTGAAAAGAGTCTTTTGAAAAAGAGTAGGTTTTAATTCACACTTCAGAAATACATGGCAAGTATGCGACGCAATCTTGTCGGAGCTTCTTTACTGCGGCTACAGAAGAGATGGGACGTCGGCGGGTGGTTGAAAGACCCCTGTCATACTGTGAGGAGAGGAGAAGCCATGCAGAGCAGGCGCAGGCAGTTCCGACAGCCATTCCTGTACATTAACATACATTCGACATAGCTATTTTACAAAAAATTAAAACAATATTCCTGTTTTATAAAGTAGACAGTACATTTCTTAGTTTTGATATTTAAAAAAAATAAGGAAAATGAGAACAATATTGGATACTTATAACGCGAATCCATGGATAGGGAAATCCCCCCTAATTTTTTTCAGTAACTATTAATTTTAACTTGTTACGAAACTTTGAAGAAAAATTATTTTCGGATAATCATTAAAACGATTAAAATCGTATCGCTAAGTGTAATCTGCGACATTTTACAAAATCGTAATATGACACTGGACCAAAACATTTTTTTAATTTCCCTTCCCAAAATTTGTCTTTGGATTCGCCATAAGGCATAAAGTGACAATTGTCAATAGTCGTCAATCAAAAACAAAATGGTGTAGGTGTTCGAGATGCAATATTTAAAAGAAATACTTCATAAATCGGCTTCAATGACTTGTAACAAGGTGACATTTTTGGTATCTGGCTATATTTAAACTTTCCGCTAATATTGTGACGCAAAATGGTGCCTGCAGCTCATTGGCTGAGGAGGAATACGAAGCGCAATAGCTCACCATCTCTTTCCTCCGAGATTCCTATTTCGATTCACGTTGACATCACATGTGAGAAAGTGTTATAAGTTTATCAAAGCACAGTTAATGTTCAGAATTAATTTTGTTAAATTTATTTAATGATAGTTTATTGCGTGGGATACGAAGAGCCTGGACTTATAGTACACGTACAAACCTACATGCATTGGTTCAGTGTATGCAATGCGTTCATTAGCTAGATCCTTCAGGAAAGATGACCGGCAAGGGTGGCTCAGTGCCTCTGAACGGGACGTGGCAGGATTTTCGACTCTAGCTGCATAGTTCGGTGGGGCTCAGTCGCTGTCTGGAGGAGCATGCCAGCGGCCGACTGCTCTGAACCGTCCGTCTGAATTTTCAAAAAAGTTCTCCGATCAAAACCCGGCAAATATCGGAGCAACCCCCTAACATACGGGATGTGGAGCGCGCGTGAGCTCCGAGCTCGTCCCGGGTGGGTGGGGCGGTGCCACGCTGGTGGGTGGCACCTGCTTGAGGGAAATCCCTGAACCTGACGTAGGTCGGCGCCGAACTCGCGATCCTGCAGGGGAAAATCACGACTACCCTCGATAAAAACCTGCACTGCCGGGAGATTACTTAATGACCTTAGCAGTTGCCGCGCCCGGAATCATCAATCGATCCAAGAAAGATGATAAGTCCGCAGAAACATTGAACGCACCCTTTCACAATGCTGAAAGAAGACAACGATGCAGTGTGCATGCTTCAATTTCATGTACAAGTATTAATTATCCAAGCGATCTTCACGAAATGAACATTCTTTTTTAAATTTAAAATGTAACATAAAGAAACTATACGAATTTATACTCGATCTCGGTTCAAAGTTTTATTTCAAGGAAATTTGACTCCGTGATAGAGATATCGAGAAACTATGTGATTTTGAAATTTAATTTTTTGTTTTATTTCCTCCTGTTCCTGCTTAAATTTCCCGACGATGCGAAAAATATACTGTTTTTAAAGTTATAAACAACAAAAAGGCTGCTATTAACCTCAGTCTGATCTACGTTCTCGTTTACTTGCAGCTAGTTTTTTCGAGACCTCATAAGAACTTTTTTTTTTAATTGTGAAAGACTATAATAATACTTTTTAGATGATTTCAACATAACTGCTTTGCTAAAATTCTTTCTATTTTATACCTTTTATTTACAGTGAATTAGAATACTGTACTATAATTAATTATAATATTAAATTCTTAAGATTAAATCGAGCAGGTTTTGTTTGAACAAAAGATTGAGGAGGATAAATAAATAAATTAATTGGAGCCAAACTTTTTATTAATGTATTGATTATGATGAATGAAACAATTAATTCATAAAAACACGATCATTTAACCCGGCGGAGCACTGACTCAACAAGGAACTAATCAAAGAACACGTTCAACGAACAGGGACAACATGCGAGTTTCCTGAAGCGGTTGCTTCCTGCTTAGGGAGCATGAGACAATATGAGAAGGGTAGAAGAAATATTGAAATCCCCTATCTTCGCGAGGGCTTTCTCTGACCAATGAGAGACACATGCTACCTGTACACCCTCTTGTGAATGTGGGGATATAAGCAAGGAGCAAGAGTGTATCTGAATGCAAAAGGAAATAGGAAAGTACATAACGTACGTAAGGAAATAGTTTGTCCCAACACAACTTACAATTTTAAATTCATTATTCGTTTTTTACACATTAAATTGTGGCCCCTTCTTTGTTTGTTATTATATCTTCCACAAAATGACTTATTTGATAGATGACAATACACTTCGCGACACACTAATAGACACTACACTCAGCAACGATATTTATTTTATTAACAGACTTTATTAGCCACTATGCCATAGTAATGAAATAATTCCTCCATAGAATGAAGTATTTTTCCATTGATTCATCAGCATTGAACGTTTCTTCTACTGACTGACATTCCAAAGCATCGATCATGGAAATGAACAATGTAAAGAAATTTGTAATACAAAGAAGATGCTAACGAAGGTTACTTTCAAACTTAACAAGACTCGAGCTGAATGTCTAGGGGCTGTAACAACAATGTAGCATGTTAAAACATTTCAATACAAGGGAAGGGAATGAGTGGGTGAATATTGTCACTGTAACACCTCTCCATTATTTATCCGGTTTTAGATAGTTGGGCATTGTGTTATTAATTACTGTTACTCAACTTTTCATTGTTAAGTTATAAAAATAAAATGAGTCATAGATAACTATAGACAGACAGAATACAAATATGTACTAAATAAATTATTTACTCAGATCTGCGGTCCATCGACAGCAATGCACATTGCAGTCGTGTGTGCGAGATCCGGCGAACTGACTGTATTGCATTGTGGCGTTATGAATACAATTTACGTCAGGAGAAGAAAAATTAAATTCTAATGAATCAATGAAAAAAAAAGTATAATTTTATACTAAAATTACTCTAAAACATTAACATATGATACATCATTGTACGAACGTAATCCTCTTTCTTTGATCTAGCCGTTGCTAGTGAGAAAAAAAATAGTTCCAGTTAAAAAATCAAAGATAGTAAAAATGTCTCGAAAAAAAAATATTTGAAAGAATTCTCTACGGCATATGTCTTGTCGCATAATTCGACAATGTAGAGCCGAAACTAAACTGCATTTCAATATCGCGAACTGTTTAGCAGTTAAATGGATGTCCCAAGGTCGGTGGGACACCTGTGTATATTACATATAGCTACATGAAGTTTGACACAAACATGAAACGATATTGAATTTTATGTATTTTCGGTATACTCGATATTCCTAAATGAGGAAATGGACATGGTTTATTGAGGTTTGGATATCTTTAAATTTGATTTTTTTTCATAATCACACTTAGGGGGCTGATTTTGATCACTGAAAACATCGCCAAAATTAAGCAATAAAATGCTCTTGACATGTCCTTAAAGTGCCCTAAAAGCAAAGAAAAATTACGTAAAAAATTTTATCAAACACAATTGAGGTGAACAATTCAAGCTGTTGGATATGTTACTGATGTAATCGAGGCTTCTTCCTTTTGATCAGGTGAACTCACGTTGCAAAGTTTTGGTTTGGACTGTTCTTTTTCAGGAAATATCCCTCTTTAGTTATCCCGAAATCGGCCAAACCGACAATGGCGCTGATATGCGTCACAGGAATTTTAGATTACATACAACGGCTGGCATTATAATTATAGAGCGAAGACATCTCGAACCTGGATACTCATGGATTCTCTGGAGATATCTCGTGTCTGGTTTCTGTGTTCTAAACTTTTTCCATTTTTCCAGATTAGTAAAAGTAAAAATATTATATTTTCTAAACTTAAACTTTCTTTACTTAACTAAAAATGGAGAGTTTTTGTGTGTCACGCTGATGATATCGTTCGTGAGCTGCAATAGTGCCACAACTCAAAAAATACAAATTTTGAGTTCATGTACTCTCCAGATACAGATTGATGTAGTACGTTCCAGCTGCAACAGCACCATATCTTACAGAACAGTATTCCATCAACAAATGGCAGAAGTGTAAATGCAATAATGATGCATTTCAGTTCGAGTTGAAAACTTCAAACTCGCTTATCTCAACACCTGATTTTCTGAGTTGTATCACTGTTGCAGCCCACGCCCGGTATTTGTTCCTCTTCTCAGGGCGGACTAATGCACTCCCAGAGTAAACACGCGCTTCGGGCCCCAAGGCAGCCCCCTTCCACTATTTTATTCTTCGCCTGCGCGCCGGGGCTCACCTCGCCAGAGGCCCCCAGGAGGCCGCCGAAGTGCTGGAGCGCGTTGGCGGAGGCGGCGGCGGCGGAGGCGGAGGCGGCGCTGGCGGCGGGGGCGGCGGCGGCGCTGGCGTCGGTGTGGGCGGGCGCGGGGGCGCTGCCTGGCAGCCTGCGAGGGTCCGCCACCTTCACTTGCACGAAGGTCTGATGCGGCGGCAGGGCGCTGCCCTTCACCGCCTGCGAGCGCACGCGAGCTGGCCTGACGGCCTCTCCGGGCCCCTGAGCAAATGAACATTCCGTGCCGGATTAGCGGCTTGGGGGCCCTAAGCGCGGCCCGAGGACGCACAAATAGTGTAGATGACATATGCAATGAAAGCGCCTAATATAATGAGCCACGCCTTTACGACTAGTACAAATCTATGAAGTCATATACAATTTTGCTTAATATTTTTGGGGGATTTTTATGTATTTTTGAGGGGTTCCTATTATATGCGTAATTTCAGTATGCATTGATCCATTCCTGAGTAATGTTTTATCAAGATGATGCCATTAATTATTAACGATTTGAATATTAAACTAGCGCTAGAATGGTATATGACAGGGGAGAAATATATCAATATTTTGACTTCAATTACGTAAAGGAGAAACGGTAACTACTGTGAAAAAATATATTTTATTTCATTTATTGCCAAAAGCAGCAAAACCTCTAAGTTATTTGGGGTGACGTAAAACCTTTGCACATTTTCTTGATCTAAAACATTCATTCAGCAACAAAACATCAGTACATCAAAAACATTGCCCGTTGTCCACAAATATTCCACCTGATACACAACTAGTATGTGGTACGGAAGCAAAGAAACTATGTATTATTAAGAATATTATGAAAGTTCATAGAATTAATGTTTTCGGAGATTTTGTGTGTTTTTTCCAATAATGAATTTGTTGCATAACAGTCGGTCTTGGTCATTAAAATCGGTCTTGGCTCTTAAGTTCACCTCATTGTGAATGCAGTTTGGCACTGAAGAGTTAATGTCGTTCTTCTACGCATTTGAGCAATCTATACTAAAATGCAAGATTTTGAAACGTTGTAGTTTCCTCTGTGGAAAGTAGTAACTGCGACAACTTGCAGTAGCTTCTTCGAAAGCTAAGAAAGCTCCGTGTTCTTTGAATCAGTAGGTCACCGTATTTGTGGGTGCATTGGGCGCGTCAGTATATAGGCACATTAACGATCACAATAGCCAAATTTGAAGAAGAAAATCGTGTAAAAGCCACAGTGAAGTTTGCCGAACGATACGGGAACGATACGAAGCGATGGATTCAAGACAAAACCGTGTTGGAAAATACCTATTGCAATAAATGTGCACTTCGAGGCAAGAAATGAAAATATTCAGCCGTTGAAGAACTGATGGAATACGCTGAGGACATTGTAATAGTTTTGCTGTTTTGCGAGGACTGCTGCAGTTCGAGGACAGCAAGATCGCCAGGAAACGCTGTACTCGAATCCCCTGTGCCAACGGTTTCATGCGAGCGAAGGGCCCCCGTCACAACTTGAGGAGCAGAGCAGCAACGCAGCTCTGCTGTTGCTGCTCTGCTCTAACGGCGGACGGGCGGAGGTTGCCGCCACGTGCTTTCAGAAGGGAAGCGATGCCGAAGGAGACGTTTCCAGCATGGATGAAGACCTCGCCCTGGACTGAATGAAGAACGTGGGGTTGCAGCGGCAACAGCGGGTGCGCTGTTGAAACATCGGCCCATGCTAGTTTTGGGCAGTTTCCGGGCTCTCACAACCGAGAGGATAAGAAGTAAACAGGAGAACAGTAGCAGTGATACCAGGCTGCATGGCCGGGACGCTGCAACCTTTAGACGTGGCTATCAGCCTGCCATTCAGAGCGCACTGGCAACATGGGTACCGAACGTGGGCGCGAGCTGCAGACACGGCTTCGGCCGGCGTCTCGAAAGAAGCCACGTGACCGACATTTCCCAGTGGATTTCAGGCGAACAGGGCGCGAAAACTTTTAAGTCGCTGCATTTCAAATAAGATGGACGAGAGCGAGGACAATGTGTTATGGAAAGCTTCCAACGATTTTGAAAGTGACAACGAATCAGGGGAGCGATGTTAGTGAATCTGCGAACGATGAAGTGATTAAATTTTAATTTTACATATTTACCTCGTACATTTGTGAAAAATAAATGTTATTTTCGGTCCCCATATCATGGGGATCCGATATCATATCACGATATGGCGGTTCCCATATTATAGTTCGCATCACCATATCATGTGTTACATTTCGAAAAAAATTGCGGCTTCGCACTTCGCACTTTTGTCGCGCTTCGGCGAAATAAAGAAGCGAGTTCGCGATTGTTCCAATTATCTTCAGAGGGCTTGCCATTCAGATCACGTCAGGGTGAGTAACGTCTAAACCCTCTCAACAATTTACATTTATGAAACGTCCTAAAAAGAGTTAAAAATAACTAACTTTCATCTAATTTTTATGGTAAAATGGGATGAAATTGGTAGAGAGAATCAGGAAAACACCTCGTCACTGTAGAGGGGACATCAAACGCATTGAACATTACACCAAGTACACTTATGTTTTCCTACATTCACCCTTACTTTGCATTTTAGAAGATCTACGTTACCTATCGGGACAAAGCGAGCCTTCTCGAGGGCGAAAAGTGAAAGTATCTATGCTCGCAAGGAGTTACAAAATTTTTCCCTGTCACTCTTGTAGGGCGTCGTATAATTACTTCTAAGCCGTTTCTTTCTAAAGGCGACCCAGTTTGGTTCGGACCAAGAATAATGCGGTTCCTTAGAAAATTCCCGGACTCTTCCCCAGCTCGTACCTGGCAGAAACTGTTACCGTAAGAATGTCCTAAACCTTTCAAGAAAATGAACCGCTTAGAGCGCGTTTCAAATAAAACATCGTTCTATGATGCCCGAGTGAGTTTCTTGATATGTTCGTTTTGTGAACATAAAACCGTTTATGTAAAATCTTCAAAAATTAATCGGTAAACAGTTTGCAACTTGTACTCTTGGTACATGCCGTTATAGCCTTTCCGAATGTCGGTTCTCTGTAAACGTCTTTTGAAGGCTTTATTTCCGTCCATAATATCAAATCACATTTTATTTCAACATGATAACTTCATCCGCACTAAGTAAGCGCAACGGCTGAAGGCGTAAGTCGATTTTCTACACAGCTGAACGAGAGTCTATTTACACATTCGGAGAAAGGTTTACAGAAAAAACAAGCAATACAGAATTGTGGTTGAAATACTGTATAATTATATGAATCTCATACTTTTATTTTACAACCCCCTTATGAGAATGTAGAGAATTAAAACATTTATCGTTCCTTAGACCCCAATTTCGTCCCTTCTGGTGTAAAGCACAACAGGCACAATACATTGAAGACATACTTAGAGAAACATATTTTATCTGTTTTTTATTACAATGAGGAAGATATAATTTTAAAAGTAGTACTTCCTTTTATAACACTTATGATTTTACTCTTAAAATGTCATGAATTTGTCATTCAGGATCTGCCCGGTGGACGAGTAAATTCGACACATACGGTACCTCTCTTTTCTAAATTTCATAAACATGGTTGTGTAAAAATGAGTAAGCATAAAAAATAAAAAAGATTGTGGAACAGATTTTTACAAATATTTTGAAATTGCAATACAAAAATGTGAACACAGATGGTTCTTGTATTTGAGCGTTAAGAAAAAATTGGCAGATAGTAGGAATTGAAGTACAAAAACGGCCTTCTCACCTTATTTATGGGTAGTTGAGATAAGATGTCAGCTGGAATGACTGGGAAGAATACATAGTTCCTAAGATATGTAACTTTTTATCACATAACAATAAGCCAAGTCACAAGTGTATTGCGGAGGCAAAACAGAATTAACAGAATCATTTTGTAGTTAAAGCCCCTAATTTCAACATTGAACATCATTATATTATGACGAAAACCCCAGAAAAGATAGTAAAAAGTTCCCTAAAACCAAATGACATACGAGTAGTTACACTTTAACATTAAAAAAATATTTTTGAACTGTTTTTTAGCCCGCCCCATAACCGTCCGTCCGTCCGTCCGTCCGTCCATCTGTGTTTGTCCGTCTGTTCGTCTGGTGCCTGTGAACACTACTAGCGACTAAACTTTGCGTAGATTTTTTTCCAAATTGAAGAAATCCCTGTACATCTGGCTCGAGTCAAAACACTGAGATTTTGAAAAATATTCTTCAAAAATTTGAAGGTACTTTTCACGAAGCCCTCCAAACATTTTCAAAATTTTCTTAAAAACGGCTCCATTTTTTTTCATTAAATTTTGTGTAAGAAGGGATAAATATACACTTATAAACGTGGCATAGGTCCGATTTTCACCGTTAACTCTAAATTTTCGAAAATTTCAAAAGCATGATTTTTTTCGGTGTCTTCTTACAACTAATAAATTAAAGAAATAGATTTTTCTTTCAAATAAAATTTGTTGTCCATAGTGAGTTCTTTCACATTAAGGTGATGTACAATTTTTTGAAAATTTTAGTAGTCTTCGCACAATATGGGCAATATTGAAAAAATACATAAACAAAATTTTCTCAAAAACGGCTCCAATTTTTTTCTTTAAACGTTTGGTAAGGATAGTTCTTAATGTATTCCGTAATATGACATAAACGCCATTTTGCGCTCTTCTTTGTTGTTGTTTTTTTCAAATATCACAAAAATTTAATATTTTGACTTGTCTCGCGTCTTAAATATTTCTATTAGTGGCAATTTGTTCACACTTTTATATTTATGAGTACGTCTGCTCTAAATATAATGTACTGTTTCTCGAGAAATCAACCATTTTCGGTGAAAACTAGCTCAAACTTTTACATTTTCAGAAACGCTCAAACGCCATTTTCTCCAAAACGGTTATAATTTTTTTATTTTCAAACTTTTAGAAGAGATAGCTCTAATTGCACTTTTTAATACGACGTAATGTTCATTTCTTAAAAAAAAAAAACAAAAAAAACACACAAATATTTTTTCAAAAATATCTCTCGCGGCTTTAATTTGCACATTTCCAGCGATTTCTAAACACTATTGCATTTGTGATCGGAAGTGCTTAAAATGACTACATATGAAGTTTTTTGGAAACGATTGTGTCCTGTGAAATGAGGTCCAAATTTCGCATTCACAGTGACGCTTAAACGTAATTCCCTTAAAAACGGCTCCAAATTTTTCAAAGAAAATTTCTCTTGGGGGCCAGGTTTTACTGTTCTTTAATATTTTTAAAATAAAATTTCCGTTCTTGTATTATAAAACCTAAAAATTAATAACATTTCAAAAAATGTACTTTGGGTGGCGATAGATGGTAACTGGCAAGA